ATACCATTATGTCATTTGAGCTGAATATTTTCACTGTGGAATGAAATCTTGAGGTTTTAAAGGGCTGTTCTTTGAAAGTATCAGCTTGGTGCTGAGAGGCAGCCTGGCTGGCAGGGCTTGCAGAGAGCTATTTGTGTCCAAGACCACTTTTTCTTGGGCTTATTTCTCCTTGTGCTCCAGGGAATATGTTTAATTTATAACTGGGGAAGGGTGATATGGCTGGAGGGGCTAGAATGATTTCCAGCACCCGGAAACGTGAGCAAAGGATGGCACACGAGGATGTGCTGGGTGCTAGAAACTCCATTTAACAGAGTTTTACTCAGACAAATGTATCTACAAATCTGAAACTTAGAGAGGCAGCTTTTGCTATCCAGATAGTTCTTGACATCCCTAGGTGTAATTCTAATTATAGAGCCTTTCAAACGTATGCGGCAGAAGTGGATTAAGTTAAATAGTCTGCTCAAACTGCCAGAGGCTTCACAGCTAGGAAATGAATTTCTCTGGCTCTGATTTTATTATTGGGGCATGATTTCTTTTTTTTTTCTGAGGTTATTGGAAATGTCATTTTATTATTACAAGCTATTTTCAAATACATGGAGAGAAGTACTTCCTGACGCGTGAGTTTTCAGATTACTGCTGCTGAGCAAAATGGTTATGGTTTTCTCTTATCTCTTCAGAAATTAATAGCAGATGGAACAAACTATCACTAAAAGAGACAGACATTTTATTAATACCAGAGTCTAGTTTCTAGTGGCTGGTAGGCATTATAATACCAACGAATTTCATCCAGAGAAAACATCCTTCAGCCTGTCAAGGCATTGAAATGTATTATTGAAGCAGGGCAGCGGAGTTAATTTCTTGAAACTTGTTTCTAAAGAAAACCATGTGCAACTATAAGAAAACTAAGAGGTTTTTTCCACCTTTAATTAAGAAGCCTACCTACATCGCCTTGTATGTGCCCAGCTCGTGATGAGGAATAAATTACATCTAAATATCTACTAAATTAAAAGCAAGCAATTATTGCTAATGCCTGTCCAGATCCGGAAGTGCTTTTTGACTGATGCCAGAGTACTAAAAAGTTCTCACACACTTTATAAGCAATTAGAGCCATGAGATTTCAATCATCGAAGACACCTCTTCTTTCTCCCCTGTGCTTTTTAGGTAACTAATTATTTCTCATTTTTAGCCAGCAGAATTAAAACCTGCCAAAGGCCAGGATAACTCATTAGCATTTCTGATGGTATTTGGTGTGCAGGGAGATTTCTGTTGGTTTTGTTAGAGGTAGAGGCTTACTGTGCTGCAGCCAACAGCGAATTCTTTATCTGCCACCAAATCCTGAGGAAGGTGACGAATATATGATGAAAAAGAGAGCAGATTTGTAGTAGGAATGGGAATAGTCTGAGTTAACTTTAGAGACACTAACCTCTTGAGGTTTTACCTGTAGCCCAATCCAGGAGTTAGGCTGTCCTAGACAATAAATCTGAATTACTTGAGGGGAGCATATTTTAATTTGAAAAAATGGGGAACCTGGGTGGATTAGACATTCCTCCTTCCAGAGTTCAGCCCTCTTTCTGAGCAATTTGTAGTCTCTGGCCCAAAAGCTACTCCTAGTGACACCATTTTAAGTGCAAGTCTTTGAGGGCAGCAGGGTCTGAACATAAGCAGGTGTCCCCTGAGGCATGGTGCGGCTAGAAGAGAAGCAAAGAAAGGGCACCTGATAAAAGCCCAGTTAGATGAGGGAAGCAGAGAGCATTTCAGCCGGTGTCCTGTGTTCCTGGGGAGAACTTTGCCCACCGAAGGGCAGGAAGACTCCCTGAATTTGAGTCCAGAGACTTCAGCCGCAGTGCCTGAGGCTGAGGCTGAGGATGCTCTCAGCTGGAATTGCAGACTCCTTTGGAAATCAGTCAAGACTTTCTTTATCGACTTGTCCCATGCAGCCTAGCGTTTCATCTGGAATAAGTGCATTTGTGGGGGAGCATTTGAAGAACCAAGGTGTGGTCTGCAGGCACCCGAGGCAGGGAGGGTGTAATAGTGTGACCAGAAACATCCTTTCTGTGACAGTAGAGACTAGTTTATGAGAGCAAACACTTTGAAGTTCAGCTCTCTGGGCTTTTCCCCAAGTAGTAAGACTGTTGTTATTTATATTCATGCAGCAACTAGTAGCCCAAGGTACTGTGTTAGATATTGCACAAACTCAGCAATGGTTCTGTTAATTCTCATACAGAGCAAATCACCCTTTGGATCTGTGGTGATGGACACAAAAATGTCTGACTGACTTAATCACCATGAAAAAATTTTCACAGGAAAGATTAAAACGTATCTTTATCAGGGAATGTAGTGACAGGACAAAGGCTAATGGTTTCAAACCATTCAAACCAAAAGTTAGACTTAGATTAGATATTAGGAAGAAATTCTTTACTGTGAGGGTGGTGGGACACTGGAACAGGTTTCCCAGAAGAGTTGTGGAAGCCCCCTAACTGGAAGTGTTCCTGACCAGGTTGGATGGGGCTTGCAGCAACCTGTCTAGCGCAATGCGAGGTGTCTCTGCCTGTGACAGGAGAGTTGGAACGAGATCATCTTTCAGCTCCGTCTTAACCCAAACCTTTCTATAAATATATGACAAGCTCCTTCCTGTCTTTCTACTTGGACTCCTTTTTATCTTTCTGACTTCTAAACAGCAAAATTATTAGATGAAGGCCTGACCTTCATCATATGCTGGTTTTGTGGTTAAGGCATCATTTTGCTCATTTGGTCTTTCTGAGCCTCCATCCTCATGAACGGAGATTTAGAAGTGGGGGGAAGGGTAGTACTGGTTGTCTGTAGGTTGCTCATGTACGCTAATAATATAATCTTGTAAGAACCAAGTTATGTAATGCCTTTTAGTGTTTTTTGAGAATGTGCACTGCCATCTCAGCACTACTAAGTGATGGAGTCAGCCCAGTGTGGCTCTGCCCACGCTACCCTTGCAGGATCTGTTTTCTGTCTCTGGAGCCGGTGCAGGACGTGGCTTGCACCTAAACAGCTGAAGTCTTGCACCCCTCAACTGTCCCCTCACTTCGACTGGATGTCCTCACCCAAATATGTTCTGGTGACTGGCCCCCAGCACAAGCATCACCTGGGGCATGGCATGGGGTAAGGCTGTCCTAAGGCACCTGCTGATGGTTATACCAGATGGCCCCAGGATGCTCTTCAAGCTCACATTCTGAGCACACTTTACCCTCCAGGCTGGATGTTCTCTTTGATTTTAGTTTGAATTTTTATTATTCCACTCTTCTTTTTTTCTTTTCCTTTCCTTTCTGAGCTATGGTGTTTTAATTAACTTAATTCCCTGAGCTAGCCTGTGGCTATTTTTGGGGTGGAGAGGGAAGAAGAAATCAGGGGGTTTTCTTGGTTGTATCTGTCTCCATTTATTTTCTTATTCTTTTAGGCTGACTGGAGGTAATGACTCTTAGCATGCTATATAAATCATTCTGCAGATGACTTCGAGTGAGTGTTTTATTAAATAAGTATGGAGAAGTGGGCTTTTGTCCCTGCAAAAGAGGTGGCAAGTTCACTGTAATTTCCACTGAACTACTGTGTTTGGGGTAGGAGAAGTAATAGAATACTCAAAGTTATTGGTCTTCCTGCGTGTTCCAATTGTATTACCCCCTATTTGACTTGCTTCTTGATCCATAGGAGCGTCAAAGTTATTTATGTTGAAAACAGCGCTTTGTTTGACTAGCATGTAGGCAGGGGTGCTTGGAAGGAATTTAGAAGTTCGCTTTGACGAGTTGTGCCAGTCTGAAAACCTGAATGTTAATGCTCTTGAGCTTTGGGAAAAGCTGGATCTACAGCCACATCCAAATGCTGCAGCTCACCTCCATTTCCACGATGTGTCAAAGCAAGTCTGGAGAGCTGCGATTTCTTGCAGAAGGGATGAAACAACAGGGTTTAGCTGCAGGGATTTAAGAAAAATACTGATTTGGGCTGCTGGAAGTTGATGTCCTGGCTCTTTGTGTCCTGGCTGCTTGGGATACCCATTTCTATGCACAGGCAGGGACTGCTGGTCAGATGTTGCATCACCAAGTGTAGCTTCTTTATAAAATGGCAAAGCCGCAGCAGAAAGAGAGAGCACAGTGCTGGCCTACAGCAATTTCAAACTGACTTGAAATGAACCACTCGTCAGTCACGTGGATTGTGAATTACTGCTATGTTGAGATCACAGTTAACCTGCTTCATTCCAAAAACATCTGCTTCTCTGAAGAAATGCTTCATTTGTGGTGTGCAAATTCTTGCAGCTAATGCGAGGAGCAGCTAGACCTGCTCTCACCTAGATTAGTGATGAGAAACAACCAGGTCATAGGAAATGGTTTCCTTGCAATTGCAGGAGTGCAGAATGAACTCAGAAGACATTTTGGCTTTAGCAAGTGCTGGGCCCAGCAGCCCTGTGTGTGCCAAGCACTGCTGGCCTTCAGAGGGAAAGCCTGTGAAGAGATGGTGCCGCAGATGCTTTGTGGTGACCAGCACGTATGTCTGCTTCATGACACCTCTTCTGCAAGCAGTCACACCCATTTATTCTTCAGTTTGGGTAGCTCTCTCTGTGGTTTGTGTGGTGAGATCTAGAAGTCCTATGAAGTACAGACCCACACCTTTTTTCTTGTGAGAAATAATGAGCAGGCGACCAAGCAGGCAGTTGTAAAAGTGACTGTCTCCCCGGCTCCTTGATTTTCACCCTTGAAAGGATGGAAAATCATTCTTTTTTCAGGAGCTACATCCAGTGCTGTAAAAGCCAGGCTGTTCTTTTCACTGCTCTGGCACCAGCATCCTCTCTGTGATAACTTACAGATTTAAAATAAAGACAGAAATTCATAGATGTATTTTTCCCCTTCAATACTCATCTGCTGTGGAGCACCTCAAGAAATGAAATGCCCAGCGATGCCTGAAATATTTCTGTGGCACGGGGTGCTTCATCACACTTTGCAGCTAACCGTGTTTGCTTTCTTCTGTTTGTTGATTTGAAGGTTGCGTGCTTGTGGTGTCCGTAATCGAACAGCTTGCACAGTGGCACAACAGCACAGTGAAGGCAGCCATGGAGAGACTGTGCAGCTATATACCTGGTAAGTACCAAATAATACGTCATATGTTATATCAGCGCTGCTGTATTTCTCCACTAATTAAAAATTCACACGTGGAGTCTGAGAAAACCTCATCCGCTTCTCATGCAGCATCTCAAATAAATGTGGCAGAAAGAAGGCAACGTGCTACCTGCAGGGAAGTCACTTGGCTTCAGAGCTGGGGTTTTGTCCCAAAGTTAGAGCTAACGGGGTTGCATTAAGCCCACACGCGTGTGAGCACAGACACATGCAGACCCCTTCCCTCCCTTTTTCTCCACTTTCTCTCTTTGTTAGCAGCTCAAGAATAGATTCACAGTATGCCCAACCACTCCCCTTTCTCGTTGATATGGGTCTATATAGCAGCAGCAAAGTTAAAAATGTTTTCAGCAGGTATAGGAAGGATCTATTGTAAAAATCTCAAAAGTGAGCTGAAGTTGACAGGTGTAAGATGTGAGCATTTGGTCTGCACAGAAAAGCTATTGAAATGTAACTGATGATACAAATTTCAAAAGCGATAACTGTTCTATATGAATATATGCAGACTCCTCTTTTTCTGCCCCTTATTTTATCTGCCTAAAGGAGCCTGGCTGTCCAAATGCACATCCCTAAATAGAGAACAGTTTGAATGCCAGAATAGCTTTGTGCCTCACAGACCGATCCTATGACTATTTAAGTAACTAGATCTCACATTCATCTTTTTAACGCTATGAATGTAAAAAGATGGGTTAGGATTCTTCATTAAAAAGTCGTTTATATGGGACTTTGCGAATTGTATCTCTGAGAAACCGTCTTGCTCTGTAGACCCTAGTTTCACAGCAGATGTGTGTAGAATATTAATTCCCTCCTTTCCAAGAGAGGATTTCCCGATGCAGGATGGGGCAGGGTGGTAATTGCTGGGATTCATTCATTGGTAGAATGATGCTTATCTGATTTCTATACCATAAGTCATATCCCCAGTGTTTTAAATTACAGGCACATAACCATGAAGTTACAATTAGAAATGCTGATCCTTCTATTAAAATACAATTTTCTTCTTTAAAATATGACATACTTGCTCTGTGTTTGTGATTCACTCAGCGGACCTTGTTCTACTGACATGTCAAGATATTTCTTTTCAGCTGCCATTCTTTACACACATAAAATCCTATTATCCCTTTAGTTAAATCAGTATAATCTAGTTACCTTCTATGAGATGCATGGATACACCCAATAGAAAAAAAAAGTGACCCTGAACATGAAAGGAGTGAAAAATCCTATGGATTGTGTGGGATCTACAGTGTAACCCATTTTATCCTCTCCTGGGAGGTGAATGCTGCAGCCCAGTGGGAATCGACAGCTTCCTCTTGCTGCTTGAAACAATAGAAAAGCTTTGGCTGCTTGCGAGGAGCAAACCTACTCATGTCATTTCACCTGAAGGAACAATTTCATTATTATACACATGCTTACAATTGATTGCAAGAATAACAGTGATCCTAGGGCCAAAAAGGGAATGAGAACTTGTGTGGCTTTTTTTTTAAGGGCCTTCTATAATTTCAATTACAGTCAAGCTAGGATTGTGTCAAGCCTTCAGTGAAGTTATGTGATGTTCAAGAACAAAAAAATGTTTTGAGAAAAAGGGAGAACAATTCAGTAGCCATCAGTCCCGCTCAGTTCCACAGGCTGTGTAGAAAACACAGTCATGACCTTATTTCTGCAGAAACATTTCTGATGTGTGTGATTCAAGCTACATGGTTAATAGACCTATGAAAATAAGAACAGCAATGCCATGAGCGAAGAAGGCTTTTGACCAGAGAGCAAGGCCATGTCTAGGGGAACAGGCAGTATTAGCGGTGTAGGAGAAATTGTAAGCAAGAACTTTTATTTGATTTTTTTTTTTTCACCTGGACACTGGCTGTCTGCCTGATGGAACAGAGGTGTCTGATACTCAAAATGTGCTTTGAAACCGTTTGCCTCCAGCATTGCCTACTCGTCACACTCTGCCTCTGTTGGCCACTGCTGTCTAAACATCCCGGAGCTCAAGTGGAAATGGCAACATGATTAATACCAGCTTTCTTGCAAATATTTGTCCTCTGGGATTCAGCCAGAATTTGTGTTTCTAGGACTATAAAGCTATAGAGGAAAACCTGACAGGTTTTTATCATGGGAAGTTTAGGGGATCTCTTTTACCTGAAGCAGGGCAAAGGCAAATATACTCTATGTTTTCTCTAAATTTTCCAGCATTTAGATTGGTTTAAGCTCTCCTCTTGCCCTTGAATGCTCAAAGTTTGATTAAAGATTAATATCTGGTTTTTTTCTCTTTTCCCCTCCCTTCTGACTTAGGCAACTTCTTCTGTGGGTACATATAGGCAGCCAGGTGCCCCACGGACAAGCCTCATCAGAGGGTGTTTTAATCAGTGATGCTACCAAACACAGGGTTATTGATGTCTGTGATGTCTTTCCTTTTAGGTGTGCAAGAGTAAAATCTAATCCTAGCCAGGAGACCAATTTTCAGCTTGCAGATTGCTTCTAAAGAGCCAATAGAGAGGAATTATGTGGCAAAGGAGGCAAAGAAATGAAGCTAATAACTTAATTGAAATAAAACACCTGGCATGAAATAGGAAAAATCAGCTACCGTAGTTACAGAAGCTGCCTGCAACACCATATGAGTAGGAGGATGTTGGGGAAATTTATCTTTTCGTTCCCTGCTAAGCCTATCTAATCCTTCCAGTCTTCCTTTCTTGCCCGGGGTGTCTGCGGTGCTGACAGGACAGGAGATGTGGGAGCAAGAGCTGATGGAGTCAGTGCTGCTGCCGGGTTTGATAGCCCCACTCCTCAGAAAAACTACCCATCCTGTGCACAGGAGACTCCCAGCCCAGGGCATGTCCAGCCTGATGCTGAAATTTGGAGGGAAGAGACTGTTTAGGGAGTTTTTAAAGGCTTTTCTCTGGGAGGGATGAAGATACTCTGTGTTTTCTTGCCCAAGTACAGACAGGTTACCACCTAAGGAGACTTCCCGCTGTGCCTTTTGCAACCAGACTTGCCTATCCCGCATCGGCCTTTTCAGCCGTCAGTGCGCTTGTAGCAAGTGTGGGTAGGGCCCTTCCCATATCTTCATTTGCGAAGCCTAGCCGTGACAGACAGCTATCTCTCTGGGTAATGGAAGCACAAGGGAAAACAACATCTCTTGGGAATTTCTGGGGCTGCACTTGTATGAACCTGCCTCTTTGTGGCTTTTCGCAGCACCACCCCTGCTGAAACAAGACCTGACATCTCCTTTGCAGGATACGTGTATGGTTAACCAGCTCTTGTCTGTTTGGGCCAAGAAACAGTCAATTATTCTTCATGAGAACTATCAGACTAGTGCTACCAGCATGCCCTGCCTGGATTTAAACTGACAAGTGTCTTCGCTTGTAGTTTTTTTACAATACTACCTTAAAGAAATCTCTGATGAGTTGTCTTCTAGAGGACACGCTTCACCCAGACTAAAGAAAGCCACTTGAGCCAGCATCCCAAAAAGGCACACGGCTGCAGACTGTGAAAGGAAGCTAAATCAAATGTGTCAAGTATGCAATTACTCCTGCACAACTCCTGCCTTACACAAGACATGTTCTCCTAACTCACACAAGCCCCTCAGAAGCTCTGAGGCAGCTCTAGCAGAGGCATCGAGCTTCACCTCGCTTTGTGCAGCTGGATTTATGTATTTGTTTTCTTTCTTTATTGCAAGCCTACCGAGCTGTTTGTTTAAATTGCTTCAAAGGTGCTGTGGCATGTGTGATTTCTTTCAACTTTTCCATGATGCCTTGGTCAGGACATTTGACAAGTACTAGTTATCCTTTTTAGTCTTTGTCGTGTGGTTTGCCTAAAGATGGAGAAGGGCTAGAAATTCAGGTTTGCCCATTCCTGGTGCTATGCTGAAGTCATAGATTCACACACCTTCGCCTAAGATAAATTAGCATTCAACTTAATGAACCAGCTCCTGCTGTATTTTGACTGTTGTAAAACCAGCTTCATCATGCACACTTACTTCAGAAATTTGTTTTTCAGAAAAACTGCAAGGTGTCTGTTTGTTACTTGCTGAACTTTATGGATCACACATAGCTGAACTGTGAGTATTGATGTGTCCTCTCAGGTCTTTGCTTTGTTCTTGACACGTACGGATGCGTTGTTGAATTAGACTGCAGGGGCTTCATTCTTAAAATCACATTATTGTTGAATCAGAGACACTTTGGAGGGATTCTTGTTTGACATTTGGCACAGTTATTCCTGAGTGAATAAACAGGGATAACCATTTCCATGCTTCTTTTGAATCTCAGAGCAGGCCCACCTGATGTGATTGCCTTTTGAAATCTGCTTGTTTGGCCGAGGGAGGAATTTAAATAAAGCTCTGTGTGCAAGGCAGGTTCTACAGAGTCACACTACTGTAATACTTGGCTCTTGCTTTCCCTTCTACCTTTAATCAAGCTTTCTAATTGTCAGCCCTACATGCTCTCAGCCCTGACCTTGATACACGCTCTTGGGGAAGCCTACTAAGTAATGTAAGTGATTAAAAAAATAAAATGTAGGTCACTTTATTCCTCTTTGAAAGTCCTTAGTTTAATTAACAGAGCTTTTGCTAGACCTTCTTCCTCCCTAAGGGTTTTTATTTTTATTTTTAAAACTCGCCAAGGGACTGCAAAGTGCTTACAGGACTAAGAAGTGCTATAATCAAATATTTTAATTTAATTCCTGATTAGCCCAGAGATGTGTCCCCAAAAGAAAGAAACAATCCCAGCACTTGTGCTGGGTGATTAAAAGTTAAGGATCTTTGAAGGATTTCGGGTTATTTTCTTGAGTTAATGATTGAACATTCATATGTGCCAAATTGCATATGCATTAACTTTAACCTTTAAATCTTTGTCAGGCTTATGATTGATTAAAAACCAGAACAATCATAATGTATCTGATTCAGGTGCTGCATATAAAGCACAGTGCTTTTTCATTATCCAATTTTAAGTGCTGAATAGGAGGCCGTGGCAGAAAATCATTAGGACCCAACGCTAAGCAGTGATTACAGGATGCGGTGAAGCCATCTGAGGTTATTGCCTGGCATTGGGGAGATTTGGCTTCCCATGGAAGTAGCTTCTACTGTCAAGCACCCAGAAGAGTGTAATAGTCTTTGATTTTGCACTCTTTCATTCAGCATAGACAAGGAAATGAATGCCGATGTGGTCTGCCATTCCTTGAAGCTGTGTAAGCAGGATCCAGGGCAACCACTTTGCCATCTCTACCCACCTCCAAAGGTGAGTTGGTTTTGCACTTTTTTCAGAGCTATGGATTGTGGAAGGTCTTTTAAGCTAGAACTGAAGAGTATGGAGGCTTCCAGTGTGCATGCACTGTCTGGGAAATAAACTTAATCATTTAGAGTGTGGCCACTTGTAGAAAATCTCTGTTTGAATGAAAAGTACATAATGTTTAACTGTGTGGAGCATTGACAGCACGGTTGTCAAAGAGTGGGAATTACAGGGCCAAATTCTCTTGTACTGAAGAAGAAAAAAGTTCTCACTTTCCCCAGAATTTGCTATTAAGCAGCACGATAATCCCCAACCAGATCCTCAGCTGAGGCTCAGCTGTCCCACCACGTTACCATGGCATGACAAGCAATCCCCACACTGCCTGATGTGCTCTGGGAGCCTGTGCAGACTCTAGTTACCTGCTGCAAATGCAAGGAGATTTGACTTGGATTAGTCTGTACTGCAAGAGGTTTAGGCTAACTTTCATAATCTTTCACTGCAGGCTGGAAACATGTTTATTTACCACTGTTTTTGTGATGTACAGTTCCTTGCTACATCATGGTAGCTTAATTGCATGTCCTAGACCTTTGCTACTTGGACACATACATATTTGCACAGGTTTCTTTAAAAAAATAGTTGGGTTTAGAATTTTTTTGTTGTGTTTGGGGTTTTTTGGTGGTAGTTTTCTTCGTCCCCAGTCATCATGTAACCCTGTTCACACCAAAATCTGTGAGTGACGGTTATTGTTTGGCAGAGTCAAACAGCAAGCAATTCACTGAGGCATCCGTTTTTGGAAATCTTTTAATCTTTTTCCCTGCATCTGGGTAGATAAAGACATGTTTGATTTCTAAAGGTTTGCATGAAGTGTTTTACATAGGGCTTCATCCAACAGCCATTGAAATCCATCAGTGCCATTGAAATCCATCAGTGCCATTGTATGGGCTTCGGTGAGCTGTGGTTCATCTCTAAGATGGATTTAGTTCAGCCGATATTAAGACCTGGAGAAACGCTTACTTTCCAAGAATGCCAGTAACATTTGATTTATAGTGTGTGCTTTATATGACTATTATGCTCCATGCTATGCTAACACAGAGGTATAGGGGTGTGCAACCACGGAGGGGTGAAAGAAAATGGATGCAGGCAGCAGGAAGGGCCCACAGTAACCTGACTTAACCAGGATGTTGCCCAAACTTCATCCAATGGGTTCCTTTGGAAGTTCAGCCTCTGAACTAGTAAAACAGCTCATTGGTCTTTCCACCCTTCCCCAAGGTCCCTCAGACAGACTCATAGAGTTGCTGTCAAATTTTTTGTTAGCTCTTCCCGTCTCTCAGAGCAGTTGTGGGACCAAGCTGTTGACTCCTTCCACCTCCAGCAACAGCTCCAGCAACTACATTTTCTGCAAGGAAAACAACTGAAGATATGGGTTGTTTGTTTTGTTTTGCTTTTTAAACAAAATTCACACTCTCATTTGCATGGCCTGAAGACTGTCCCTCTGAGAGTCTCAAGCAAACCCTCTCCCTTCCAAGTGATAGTTAATACTTTTCTGTCAAGGTGTATTTGTTTCTCACTGGGAATAAGAGAACTCTACCAGCAAAATAATTTTTATGCCCTGACTGCTCCATCCTTTTTCGCTCACCAGCATGGGGAGGCTGGGGGAGATGGGAGAAGAACAGTGCTTGGAGTTCATGCTCAAGTGGTTGATAAATTGCCCACAGTAAATCTGTGACAAGTCAGTCTGAGTAAAGATGGATTATGGGTGAAAAAAATATGATACACAGATGTGTAAAATGCAGTTTGCCTCACATTTGCTTCTTTGGTTTGTAATTTGATGGATCACTTTTGTTATATGAGCCTGCAAGTGTTGGCTCGGTCCCCCGCTGAGAGTTTGAACAAGACTTTAATACTAATGACTGTTTTGTTCAACTCTATTGATTTTCAGGTACTTCATTTAGACTTTTGGATGCCGATTTTCCCAGAATTAGTATCTCATTTGTACTGGCAAAGGGAGTAAAATAAATATAGAGTTACTTTCCCTTACAAGGCAGTATAATATTCAGGCTTTAATTGCTGTTAAGGTGTGGATGCCAACATGTTAACTGCTCTTTCAGTCAATAGTTAATTTTGTTCTGTTTCCTTGATGTTTATCCACTCACGTGATGAAAGACTTTCTGTACTGGATCCTGAGAAACACAGACGTTCCTCTACTGAGCAAAAGTGGCTGAAATAGGGTGAGGGGTTTTAAGTGTTGCCTACCAAGCTTCCCTGCTGGCTCTGGAAGCAAACAGGTTTGTGAGAGATTATTCTCAGCTTGTGTCTAGGATCGTTTGAAGCCAGCTGGCCTGTTCAGTTAAGCAGCAATACTTTAATTGGTTTTGTTGGGGCCAGAGTAATGGCTCAGCTTCGGCATTGGAGTCCTGCTGCTGGCAACCTCTTAAACAGTCTGTGTTGCAGGGAGCTTGTACTCATCTTTCTGCCTTTCAGAGTGCCTCTTCTGGTCCCCATCACTTTTCTGCTCCGGAACATCAGAGGCCTTGTGGCTGCAGATTTTAGCTTTATCCCCAGTAGAAGGATTTTGCTGGGAGTCATCTTACATCAGTGAAAATATATGTATTTTTGCTAATGTCATTTTATCTTACCAAAATAAGCTTCATTGCCACAAGCAGTCATGCTGGTTCATGTCCCCTCTATCAGGTCTTTCACTGGCTTTGTAAAAAAGCAAAAGCTACATCCCTCATGGACATTACTGCGGCCAGCCTGCTCTTTGACAAAGTAGGAGCCAACCAGTTCTGGCTGGAAAAAAAAAGCAACCCTTTGGGCTTTCACAAAATAAAAATATTCTCACTATTTTCTCTTGTTCCTGTCTTTCTTTCATTGGAAATGTAAACTGCTTCCCAGGAGGTGAGGCAGAACCAAATTCCAGGGTGGGAGTGCATCTGCATTCCCGCTAAGAGCAGGCTGCCAGCCAAAGGAGGACCCTGTTTTTTCTTTGGAGACCACAGACCACAAAGCAACCGTTTGAGAGTCAGGCTAGGTCCTGGGGAGCAAGATTCCCTCCTTCTAGCCTTTGTTTTTGGAAATAGGTAAAATTGACTGAAATACTAGTTGCTTCTGCCACAGTTGTAACTGAGCCCTGAAGAAACAACCTGTAAATGAGCGATAGCAGAAGGCAGGATTTGATCACTACTTTTTCTTCTTTCCCTTGTTTCTCATCATTTTCTCCTGCTCCTCTTCACTGGCAGAAAATTAAATGTGAAAAAACCCCAACCCCCGAAAAAAATGACACAACCCCAACCTTCAACCAAATAAACCCAAAGGAAAAAGGGTGTCACAGAGTTTGCAGGGTGCTGCGTGCTGCTGTGTTGTACCAGTGCAGAAGCTGCCCCAGGCAGGACCACTGAAAACAAGTCTTGAGGGACCCACAGGCACAGCAATGTTTGGGGTGGGAAGCTGGCAGACAAAAGTGTGAGGGCGAGGAAACATTGCTCATGGGTGCTGACTGTGTTTTTGCAGAGGTAAAGCTAGGTAAGCTAGGAAAAGTAAATCAGAATGATTCATCCGGGATATGCAGAGCCCAAGTCCAAAAGAAACAATGGCATAAAATGAGTAGAAGTCAAAGTAATTGCCCTCAGAGGAGAAATAACGGCGTCAGTCTTCATGTGGTTTAGATCTGAGCTTGCAGGGAAGGTTCCTATTTTGCATCCAGAACACTTGTCATTTAGTTTGGTTGACCCATACAATCATAAAGATTCACCAACAGCCACGGCAGGATGAAAGGTGGAAGTTGTAGAACAAATCCCAGTTTTGTCAGTGCTGTTTTAGCAAGATTTGCAGCATTTTGATAGGTTGGTGTCCATACTCCTGGTAAAAGGATAATGAAAAGGAGTTAGAAAGGAAACTTGGAGTGTTTTTTGAATCTTCAATCTCCCGGAAAAGAGCTGGCTAATAAGGGTGATAAATGAGAGAGAATTAAACTTGCTTCATGTTTATCGTAGAATCAAAGCATGGTTTGGGTTGGAAGGTGCTTTTTAAAGGCCATCTAGTCCAACTCCCTGCAGTGAGCAGGGGCATCTCCAACTAGATCAGGTTGCTCAGAGCCCCATCCAACCTGACCTTGAATGCCTCCAGAGATGGGACATCTACCACCTCTCTGGTCAACCTGTTCCAGGATTTCACCACCCTCACTGTAAAAAGTTTCCTCCTTATATCTAGTGTGAATCTCCCCTCTTTTAGTTTAAAACTGTTATCCCTTGTCCTATCGCAATAAATATGATGAGAAGCAGATCTGCTTGTGAAAAATTCATTGCTGGGAATATGTGGGTTCTGCGAAGAGCAGTGAATGAAATCTCAGTGACCCCCCCCACCCCAGCCCCATCCGTGGGGTGGACATCTCCCCCGGCATGGCTGGGAGGATTTGGGTGAAGGGGTTTAGCTTCTCCCCAGGACCTCCACACACTCTCTCAGCAGCGGCTGCAAGTCCATCTATCGGCTGCTGTAGCTTTGAGAGCCTCTTCCTCATTTTTTTGTTGTGGTTGGTTTGGTTTTTTTTCAAGCTATGGGAAAGAGAGGAGGCTGCTTTCTAGCCAAGTTGGAGCAAGGTTTTATGGCCATCAGTGGCAGGTTTGACATGCTGATGTCAAACAGGGGTTACAGGTGACCCTTTTTACTGCAGAAATGACAGCAGCTGGAAATGTGCAGCAGAACTATGGCAAATGCAAGATGCATGTGTGGGTTTGGGGCACAGCAGTTGCCCAGGGAGAAGAAACTAAGGAACAGTGCCTTGGCTCCTTCCTAGCGTCTCCTATCTGTTTGTAACATACCCAGATATTTATAAGACTATAGACACAATGAATTAAACATATATTAACGTGACACGTGTATTAAAAAGCAGTAACCTAGAATTCTGTTCCTTTGTGCTTATTCTTCCTTATCCCTTTATATTGCTTACTCTAAATTTTTGACCCTTGAATAGCACAGTTAATTAATTTTCTTTGATCACTGCCTAAGTCAATTATAATGACATGGTAAATTTTATCCCTGGTAAATAAATGTTGGTAATGGTTGCTTTAAATGCAAATATATATGCTGCTTTAATATCCCAAGCTGGCATGCCCACTGTTCAGTAAGGTGCCATCACTTGAGGGATGTTTTCTTTTTTCCAAATGCTTTAAGATGAAGCATACTTTTTTTCCCCACGTTTAGTTCCTGTAGCTCAAGCCGGATAAATATAAATTCATGCTGAACTTTATCTCGGAGCCCTCAGCCCATGCTGGTATTAAGCTCGCAGTTACATCCTTAGGCTGGGCTGCAGGAAGGGCTGATGACAGGTCCTTGTCAGACAGAACAGTTTATTCTCGCCAACAATTTTGATCAGAAACAAAGTGCTAACATGTTTATGATACATTGGATTTTTCCTTCAGTTTGAAACATTTTCAAAAGTAATTGATTCGTATCTCCTTTTTTTTGTTAGATTTGTTGCATTTTTTTAACTGATTGTGAAAGATCTGTGTGACCTTTTTTGTTTTTTATAAATATTCTACTTTGAAGTTGTGAGATCTTCTTTTCCTACAGGAAGATGTGGCTGTTTGTCAGAGTTGTTAAACGTTTTGAGCTGCATGGTTATATCTGTGGCATCTGCTCACCTCCATGACTGGGAGAAGTCCTTGCGGCAGGAAAACCAGTGCGGTCCTTCTGTGCTATGATGTGGGATAAGTTTCTAAAGTCCAGAGATAAATGTGTACAGTCCCTGCTTACTCCCTTCCATGCCTGAGTGCTTAGCCAGGCAAGACCAGGTGGGCCAACCTGGTCTCCTTTGATAAGGGTGCCTTTCCAAGGTCTTCTCTTGCAACGGTTCTCCCACTCCTCCTTTTTATTTAAAGTATTGCCATTGTGGAGGAATCCCAAAATGCTTCTTCACCATGAGTTTTTGTAGACCCAAAATAAAAACAGTCATGCTGCTCTCAGCAAGAACTTGCTCTCCAGGGCAGGCATTTCCAGAATAAAAATCTAAATTTTACAGATCCTGAGCAGATGATTTGCCTTCCAAACCCTATTCCCAAGCTTTGTACCCACCAGTTCCCATGCAGGAATGAAAGTTAGCCAAGAGTAACCCTCATCTGTAAAAGACCAGGGATTTCCTCTGTCCGCTTCCACACCAAATCAGACTGACATCGCACACATATCCCTCTCTTGGCCATGTAATGGATGAGTTGTTCTTCAGCAGAGGGCACTAGAGAAGTCTGTCCTCTGCAGCTCCCACAGTGCAGTGAGGGTATGAATCTCAGCTCTTCGACTGCTCTGGGATTTTCCTTAGGAAATAAGTGATGCCCTGGAGCAAAATAAATGAACTCTTGCAACTAGAGTTTCATAGAAGGTGATGGGATAATTGATTGCTTCTCGAATAAAAAATAACTGATGGTGACTTTGTGGACTCATAAATCATTTTTGTGCTCTGATATATTAAAAAAGAAAAGGTAGGAAATGGGAACAGATATTGGCAGGATACTGTGAGACTAATGTGGGGGTTTTAAATTTTGTTCTTGCTTTCCTAGGTGGGGCTGAGTACTGTGATAAGGAAAGCAAAAAGGATTATGAAGACTTCCAAGGATCTGGTAAGAAATCAGTGGCATTACACTGTACTTGCATTTTATCAAGAGTAAGTCCTCATGTATTTTGCCCAATTGTGAAACCAGCTGATCGTTATTGAATTGAATGCTCTTACCCACTGTAGGATGTGCTCTATCAAGTGACACTGGGAAGGAAAGGGAAATGATAGATAGGAAATATGAAAGTATGGAGGGAGCAGAAGAAAAAAAAGCCTCGTGAAAAATGCAGACTGCTTGTAGAGTAGGGATAACAGTCTAAATTCATCCAAGGCATAAATTTGTGTCTGAAAATCGCGCAGCAGCTGAGGATATAATCTGTTGAGCTCCCTGCTGAGGCACTTGCTTGTAGTAGCGCAGCTCACCTTTGATGAGGCAGCCAGCCTTACAACAAAATAGGAGCAGATAGAGAGTTTGTTCAGACATTTTTTTTTTTAACCAAAGCAGGGATTTCCCATTCAGCCTTTCCCTCTGCTTTTCCATCCAGAGAAGCTTTTTTTTCTTCAAACTTCATGGATTGTCATTATTGCTCCTCATTTTTTTATGCTTCTTCTTTGTCCCTTGTCATCCCTGCTTTCCCCTCGTAGCCATATGTAAGAGGGAGCCTCAGGAACCAAACCAGTGCCTCCGAGCACAGTGACTGCAATTTGGGGTTGTCTGAAACTCGAGCAGCAGCCTGAATGCAAATTCTGCGTAATTTCGCCTTTATTTTCTAGAGGCTGTTTTTGCCTCAAAACTTGAAAACTGAGATTTGAAATCTTTCCGCCTCCACTAGCTTTCCAATTTATAGAGGATTTCTAAAGGGTAGCAGAGAAGGGAAGGACAGCTTTTATTCTGCTGGGTTCACTTATATGAGTCAGCTCAGCCATAGAGTTTGCTTCCAGTTGTCTTCAGGCACTCAATGCAGAGCAAATGTTTTCGCTGTTTGTGAAGAAATTATTGATATTGCTTCTTCCTGAATCCTCACTGTGATGCTACTAGCAAAAGTGAAAATTGAGGTGCCTAATTAGCTTTTGGGCAATTGCCAAATTGCCAAGCCAGGGAAATAAACAACGCACTGGAGAGATGAGTGTCAGCTCCTGCAGAACAGCAACCAGCAGGATCTTATTCATTTTCCTTCCTATTCAACGCTGTGCTGCTGATGGCCTGAGGTTTCCACTCAAATTAAGTGAAATTTCTCATCCCCTTTCTCCGATGGAAAGCCCCCCACAGTAGCACCCGCAGAGAGATGCTCAGAGTCAAGGAGGTCCTCTCTCTTAGCCAGAGCCTGAGTGCAGGGATGAAGAGAGATCATCATGCAGCCGTTGTCTCCCAGGACACAGGATTCCTTTGATCCCTCACGCACGCTTCTACCCTTAGCTTATTGGTTTGCGTCCCTTGCACAGCCAGCTCTATCTGGCCTTTGAGAACCACACATGCATCCTTTCAGGCTGTCCTGGGTAGGGTGGCATGGTTGGCATCAATCTTTGGGTGCAGTGAGGCCTCCTTCCAGCTTGCCTCTATTCTCCCATATCCTCAAAGATGCTCAGTGTCCCGACACCTCTCTCAATCTCCATCGCAACACCCTTGGACCCTTCCTGCTCATGGTTGCCCACCTACCAGTGTGCCCCAGCTAGAAGCAGCAGGGTCAGAGTTGGATTTCTCCAGTCAATGTGTTTCTTAACCTGCATAACTGCACAATACAAGGTCAGTTCAAATTAAAACAAGTATCATGTGGTTGGCTGGGTCTCTCCGGCAGTTATTCCCAGCATGTTCTCTACAACAATCCTCACTGAAATATATTTTGAAGCTAGAAAACTAAAAACAACATTTCTAGAGGCATTACTGTCTCTTGCAACCTCCCCTTCACCTGGATTGCAGTTGATTTCATTTCAAATCCAGAAAAATAATGCAGTGAGAAACACAAGGAAGATCTCCAGGAGAGAGCACAGCATGTATCATGCTTTCATGAGCCTCGTATCCCAGAGCAGCAGTGTGCGATGGGATAGTAAGAAAATCACCTGGACACTCTGAACACTGCCAAACCATGGTCTATTCACCTGCCTAGGCACCTACAGGTGCCAATGAGCAAATGTGAGGTGCTCTCGCTGCTTGGGGCGAGAGTTGCCTGGCTGAATGTGTGCATGAGGATCCAGAAACAGTCTGTCCATGGTAGGACATTCTGCATCCACACCAGTGGAGAGGGAAAAACATTCACCTAATCTCTGGCTCAAACTGGACTAAAACTTTAAATTTTATCTACTCATTCTTTCCAAAGCTGCTATCTTGATTGGTTTTGCCTCATTTCATGTTTGGGGAGAGCCTCATGAAGAAGTTCTTGTGAGTAAGCTCTCCCCATCTTTGCTTGGCAGCTGTGTGTGACTGTGCATAAAAAAGAGGTATCATTATGGCTGTTGGTAATGAAGATGGGAAGTCTATCTGGCTCCCAGGGGTTTGTATTTACTGAGATTTTCTCAGGATCATTGGGAGTGTGGGAAAAAGAAGTGTTTTCCAGATGTAGAGATGCAGTGAAAGTGACTACAACCCAAAAAAATCTAATAAATGTCTCCATTCATTAAAAGTAGTGAGCCATCTGTGAGCGACTGGCTTAAACCTAACACCAACAAGCATTAGGTGCTCATTGTTATTCTTTTTTGTAAAACCAATTAAAATAATTACAGAAATGTCATTAGGGAATGTTAACAGGCAATGAGTAAAATATTGGTGTTATCAGTCACTGTGAGCACCTCTAGTGCTAGCTCTTCTTGTGGGTGGAGAAGATAGCAAGAGGCATCTTTGAGCAACAGCAATAGCAGTGAAAGAATGATGGACAGAGTTGTGAAAGGAGGTTGTAGCAAAGTGGGGTCAGCTGCTTCCTCCAAATAACAAGCTATAGGATGAGAGGGAGTGGGCTCAAGGTGCACCAGGGAAAGTTTAAATTGCACATAAGAAAAACTTCTCCACAGTAAGAGTTGTCGAGCACTGGGATGGGCTGCCCAGGGAAGTGGTGGAGTCACCATCCCTGGAGGGATTTAAAAGTCATGTAGATGTGGTGTTCAGGGACATGGTTCAGTGGTGGGCCTGGCAGTGCTGGGTTAATGGTTGGACTCGATGATCTTAAAGGTCTTTTCCATCCCAAACAATTCTATGATTCTATGCTTTAGTGAGAGCAAGCACCATGCATACAGAGGAAATCTGGTCAGCACCAATTTTCAAGTGACTAGCTGAGAAAAAGGCAGAAAAGATTTTATTCCGCTTACAGCAAAGGGTAGACTTTAAATGCAACCTGTGAGCAGAATGGAAGGAGGTTTTATTTATGTCTTTGTTTCTTGCAAGCCCTGTAGCTTGTCTTTCTGGTGCAGTTTCAGCTCCAGATGCCTTAACTTCAAAGGCTTTTCATGCTGTGACTTAGGCTGAAGTGAAAAGCTGACAGCTCAGATGAAGACACTGCAAATCTTAGCCTGATGAAAAGCTTTAAGAGCCTCTACTGCTTTTGTCAGCAGTGCTGGAATTAGTCCTACATAGAGGAGGTGGAGGCAGTGGTTCCTTTCCCCTTTCTAGGAAGGTGTATGTAGGTTTGCAAAGCTCTTTGAGAAAAGCTGGTGTCCTGCTTGCGTGTCTCGCGTGCTCTCTGCCTACCTGGCCATGCAGGTGTAGGCACACACAGAGAGCAAAGGAGAGATCTGTGTCTGCAGGGAAGTGGTCCTGTGGCAGCCACACTGGCAGGGAGCTTAAATACAGGGGTGCAGAGGGATGGGAAAGAGCATGGAGCTGCAGGTTGGTCTCTCAGCTCAAGGGAAGGCCCCACTCCTTGGCTACTTTTGGCTATTTCTGTCCACTTCTGTCTTTGTGTTCTGATTTCGCCTTTGACTGCACTGATATCCTCTCCACGCCGTGGTCTTCTCCAAGCCAGTGAGACTGCAGCCTTGCCATTTGAGGCAAGTTGGGCAGAGCTAAGAGAATTAATTGGTGGGTTGGTGTTTTGGATTTTTTTGCACGTTTCTTGTCTCCCTGACTTTTCTCCTTTTTTTCTCCTTTAATTTCTCTGTTGCATCCTTCACAAAGTGCACTGTTGCAGCTCCACCTCGGCTGCAGGTCTCCCCCGCAAGGTACCACGCTTTTTCATCTTCACCTTTCTGCTTGGTCGCTTCAGCTGCCGATGCAAATTTTGGCAACCATGTTTGTACTGGGAACTCTGTCCCCTCTCCCCTACCCCAGCCCCCCTCTCCACATTGAGATCCTGGCCATGACGCATTCCTGTGGTTGACCTCCTGCTCTGTTTTATGTTAGCTTTGGGTTGTAATCTCATTAGGGCAAGGACCATCTTTTTTTTTCTTCATATGTAAAGAGCACAACACAAGGGAGTTGGTCCAAGAGTTTTAAGTGCTATGGCCATGTAAATAATTACCCTTGTTTGCATAAAGTTATGAGTATGCCCATCTGCTCCATATTTACATGCTGAACACCACCTTAGTGCAGTTAATTAGACTGTGCACCGACTTAGCCCTTTGTACTTATAGACCTCTTGAATGCCCTCAGTGTTTAAAGACCACCTGAACTTAGGGTGAAGCCACATGACCAGCATGTTTGTGGGACTGATTGCCAACACAGGGCAATGTTTCTGTAACTTGAGCGTTTACTAAGAAGGTCTCTTTCAGCTTCTGAAGCCTCCTGGCTACCTGGGATCTCAACTGGATTGGCCCATGATATGGCCTTCTAATGTTGACAGTTTACCCTGCAGCAGTTGTCTTTTACAGTTTGCAGGTCTGGCCAAGATAAAATCTAGTTACAATAATTCCAGGTAAAAATCTTATTAAAAAAATCAAGGGCATTCTATGCATATGCTGGATTCTCCCATTTCTCCTCTCTTTGGGCTTATCCTTTGGCTTATCCACCCCTTCTTGAATGTGCAGAAACCAGCCTCATGGCCCACAGTGTGTTGCTTTCACTAGTTTCACACTGAGTATCAGATATCATCATGTTTGTCAAACATGAGAACAGTAATTTTTACAAAGAATGAAATAAATAACTTGGGCACATGAGAGGAGACAGTTTCATGGGGACTTCTGCATTCTTTTTCAGTTTTATAGCTCTCCGAAAGCAGGAGTAGTTGGTTTGTAAAATGTTCAGTTGAAATCCTTAAGTTGACTAATGTGTTGGGTCTAAATCCTCTGGCATGTAACATCCTTAATGATATCACTGGAGTTTTCATATATTTCTAGGCAGAAAATACATGGTTTGTCTGTGGACTTTACTGACACTGAATATCCCATGAACTGACGCATCTATCTTATTTTCTTCCCCTACAGAAAAGCTTCATGGGCTTCTCAAATGTATGTGCATTTCCTCTTCTGGCTAACCTGTGTGAGAAGATTAAATAGTACGTATAAAGTTTTCAGTTCTTAACCAGAAACAGAATATGGTACATGGCGTTTTTTTTAAAAGCCATTCTCAGTTAACAAAACTTCATATTCTTTGCAACCAACTTCTTTTGGTTCAGGTAGTGAACCAGGTAGTTGACTGTCCAGGTAGTGTAGAGGGAGGTTGTACAGAATTCAGAAAAGTAAGATTCCTCAGAGGGATCCCTGTGCTTTTCCAGTACTTAAAAATATTTGCATAATTTTAGCAGATTCTGGAGGTTAAATACATGACACGCTCAAAGATATGACACCTCCAAGAAGGACCTAATTTTCTGCTGAGATTTCCTGAGCCCAAGAGACTTCATTTCATTTCTTCACCCAGCTGGGGTACCCACAGCTCAGCACAGGAAAGCCACCAGCACCTCTATAACTCTGTGAGGAACATGAATTAAGTGGCAGTGGCAAACTGTAGGGCGGTATTTAAGAAAGCCGGGTGGAAAACCAACTTTCTGGCAGCATGTCCAAAAGTTTGCAGGACAAGATACAGATATCTTAAGATAAGACTCTGATCTTCAGTTAAAGCATTAGACCACCTATGAATTCAGCGTGTACGGTCCTTCTTCATATTAAATCCACTTTTACCTATAAAATAAGCATAACTTTGTGTGTGTGTAGCTGCACCCTGATGTGCAAACTGCAAATCTTCTATACTGAACACAACAGTAGAGAAACGGTGTAAAGACTTGAGAGATGAATATGAGAAAGGGTATTTGCCACTTGTTTTTAACAGAAGAAGGAGGCTCCATCAGCACAAGGCCCCATTCTGCAGCTCTTGCTCAAGTAGAAGGTCTCCCATTAGTATTTCATTTCAGATTTGCAAGATCTGCCAGGCTGAGTATAGTATTTATCTCAGACAACCCAATATATATATAGTTACTTTTACCACAGATTTGATGTCCTAATTTGTTTTAGAGGCTGAAGGTTTGACATTGCAGCCGTATAAGAGTCAGATATCAGCAGATATTAAAAGAAATCAGAATTTGCTCCTTCTGACAGAATCTCTTTGCTGAAATACAAGCTAAAACTGAGTATGGAGCCGTGAATGACATGCCAGCTATTATCTATTCTGTACGCTTTAACGTGTTGGGTTTTTTTCTTTCTGAATAGATTCCCTTCCATATGTTAACACTGCATTTGTTGGTTTTGTTTGTTACAGCATTATAAGAAATAAACTGCCTTTTGAAGATTTTGATGGAGATAAATTTAGTACTTTCCCGGTAAGCAAAGCCTTTCCTTTGGTACGGTAATCCCTTGATAATGGGAATGTCTATGGCATTCCTCCCACTATCTGCAAAGCCTTATTCATTCATGAGAAAATAGGTTTAGGAATGAAGTGAATGGTTGTTTGGTTCATGGGTTTTTTTTCTTCGACTGAAAAAACAATCATTCATTTGTGCCACCTGGGGAGATGCACACATAAAGCTGTGCTCCCTGCAGAAGCAAATTGCTCTGCTACTGAGTGGTCTGTTTACTGAATTAATAAGAGGTGAAATAAAGTCATATATAAAAAAAAAGAAAACAAACTGAATTGAATTGCCAGCTTGCCTTATTTCTGCACAAAAGCGTGCAAGGTTTCATTTATTAAAGCTTAGCAAAGGGACTCTGGAATGCAACCCATTTACTGGGTTTTATTCCTACACCTTGAGTTAGATTCTCATTTTAGATATTTTAAATTAAAAGTGCAAGAATAACAATGACCATCATATCTGTGTGCTCCTCCTGGCTTTCAGACACTGAGGGGCTATCACTGGCGAGGCAGAGACTGCAATGACAAAAATACCACCGTGTACCCTGGCAGACGGTAAAGTTTTGAATTATTTTAAAGGCTTCCTAATAACTTTGGCTTCTTGAAGAAGGAGCTCCATATTTGGATTTGGCCCTACTCCAAGAAAGCGCGTTGCTGCTCGTTGCTTGATTTCACTGTGATGGAGACAAGAAAGGATGATGGAGACCACGGATGGAACGCATTATCGGGGTGCTGCACAAGTTTCTCTCCTTCCTCTGAAGTATCTGCAGCCGAAATTGGTCAGACAGACCAGAAGTGAGGAAGGAAACCAAGCTGCTGAGGCTTACAAGCCTTTTGGCACTTGAGCTGATGTGGCCTGCCCCTAGTTTAGGGATGACAAGACAGTGGTGCTTGTGGCTGGCTGCTGAGCTCCAGCATCCGGTCCTCTTGTTACATTGGCAGAAACGGAGAGCTAAAGGAATATTGGAGAATAATAAAAATGAATAACGGAGAGCTAAGTGATTATCTCCCAGGTGAATACCTGCCAGCTGCAATTAAACAGGACTGGTTTTAAAGCCTGAGCATTAACCGACTCGTGACTGGACAAACCAAGTTTAAGGGTGTAGCATCTCTTATCTGTAGCACCCACCCTTATCTGCAGAGATGGATTTCTAGTTATTTTGTAGTCATAGTTAGTGAAAAATGGCACAAAGGGTCTGATTTCCCCACAAGCCCCTTTTTCTTCTTTTTCTGTGACACTATATCCTTTTGTAACTCTATTTTAGTCCTGATGATTGGGATGCAAAAAGTGACTCAAACTGCAATGGCATATGGGTAAGTAAATGAAGTTGCCTTGTATGCTTCCTTCCTGATTGCTGCTTCTCTTCTTCCCTCCCTTTGAATTAATCTGCACTTTTTTTGTTTATTCTGGTTTATTAACTGTTTTGTTTTGCTCTTATTTGTTTACTACCTTTGATATTCCAAGTAATAGATCTGTAGTTATTGAAAAATAAGAAAACATAGGGGAAGCAGTTATGAGTGAATTTTATTTATTGATGCTTATGATTATTTAAATTATAGCTATTATAATTAATTTAAATATATGTATAATTAAAATGAAGTAATGGAAAGCATAATTATTATGGTGCAGTGCTTTCTGCAGGCAACATTTAAAAAGGACTGAATTCTCAGCCTCTGTTTTGCAATGCCATTTTTCATAGATCAGTACTATCATCTGCACCTTCTCCTCTTCAATCATAGATCAGTACTATCATCTGCCCCTTCTCCTCTTCAACAGGGAGTGGATCCAAAAGATGGAATTCCCTATGAGGAGAAATTCTGCAAAGGTAAATCTTTACAGTCAGTACCAGAAACTATGTGTCTTTTTTTATTTCCTAAATATTTTAATGATTTTGTGGTTGTTGCCAGTGGAGGGGAGGGGCTTTACAA